CGTAAAACGCCGACGCTTCTCCTTACAGTCAACGCGTTAACACTAGAACTACCGTACCAGTCAAACTGACTGGTTTCAGTTTCTCTGTTTCGCAGTAATTGATATCTTCAAAGCATTGAATATTCGAAATGATTTCGAAGATAAATATCTTCGCTTGAATACTATAATAAATGCCTGAAGAAACCGAAAATAATGTATTACTACAGCATTCATAACGATTACATTTCAATCGTATCAAATGCTCGGTAGTTCTAGCGTTAACACATTGAACGCCGGCTAAATTTCCGCTACTAGAAACGCGAGCGTCGGTGATTATATCGATACATTTTTGAACATCGATTAAACGAAAATTTCTAACTTACGGAAGAGAATTCTATTTTGTAAATTTTATATTATAAATATAAAATAAATAATAATCTATATTATATATAGACTAAAAAGAAACGACTCGCAGGACAGTTTCAAACAGTTCTACGTAACCTTCTCAATCCCAGATTCCACCTCGCTGCATCTTGAAGACGACTGTACCAGGTAAAAGTCGATCGGCGCTGTTCGACGATTCGAATTTTCGTATTTAGAGCAGCTGCGGTTGCGGTCTTGCTCGTGGTCTCGCGCTCTCGTTCCCGGAGTACGTATCGGTTTATGAGTTTGCGTGCGTCCGTCCGTCCGTCCGTCCGGCCGGCCGGCTGTCCGTGCGCCGCGCGAGTCTAGCCGGCGGATAATTCGATAAAGAGTTACGGAGTACTCGGGTCTGGATATGATTAGGTCGTTAGCCGAGACGCTTTAACGCGATTTGCTCGGTTGCCGGAAGGGCTGCGACCTTATTACACTGCGGATTAACCGAAGGTTCTTCGTGCCCGCGGTAAAAAGGTTTGGCCGGACTGCGAGCCTGAAAAACTGGTATCCGCGAGATCCTGCGGACGAGTAATTCATCTTTCGCCTCTGCCGCGGGCTTTTTAGAAAGTAGATTCAGGCCGAAGGATCTTGGTTCGAAAGCTGGACGAAGGAAGCGTAAAAAGGTTCGACGAAGAATGATCAGAAGAGTCACCGAGGTTTCTAGGGGATAGATCCGTGATAGATGGAGTTGTGTAGGGGTTTAACCCTTTGCGGTCCGAAGTGCTCTTGGTTTCTCACTTTGAGGTTCACGTCGACGTTAGTTCATTCAATTACAGCTTGATACGACGCCCTATTTATTTATTCGAGAATATTTGGGAGTCTTTGAAATGTTACCTTCGAATGGTACAATTGTGATAATACAAATAAATGTAGAAAAAATTGTTAAACCAGGTAGAGGTTGCAATAAAATAGAATGTCGAGTCAGACTCGACATAGGGCTGCTAAGGGTTAACGTGTTTGCTAGCAGCGTGACATATTTGTGATAGGCGTAAGCTTATATGTGGTATTAATGGAAATAAATATGTTTTATTTTTAAAAGAACATAGGAATAGTTAATCGTATAAGATAGAAATAAATAGAAACGATATTGCTCGCAGTGTACAGGTCTTTTCTCTTCTAATGTCAACCTGACTCTCTCTCTCTCTCTCTCTCAAATCTCTCGCTGTCCGCACTTAAAAATTATCCTCTTCCCCAACAACCACTCTCAACCACACCCTACTCTCACCACCACGCACTCATCCTCGCTTACACATCGCTCGGGAAAACTCGCCAACCCTTGGGCCTGGTCTCCATCAGTCCCTCTCTTTTTTATGGTCCTCAGAATACTCGCTGACCCACTGCCTTAAAACTACGATACTACATATATTTTATACAAAGCAAATGAAATTAATCTTATAGGTATTATTACCAAGGAAGCGTAAAAAGCTTCGACAAAGAATAATCAGAGAGCTTTGCGGTCCGAAGTGCTCTTGGTTTCTCACTTTGAGGTCTACGTTGACGTTAGTTCATTCAATTACAGCTTGATACGACGCTCTATTTATTCATTCAAGAATATTTGGAAGTCTTTGAAATGTTACCTTTAAACGGTACAATTGTGATACTACAAATAAATGTAGAAAGAATTGTTAAAACAGGTAGGGGTTGCAATAAAATAGAATGTCGAGTCAGACTCGACATAGGACTGCTAAGGGTTAACGTGTTCGCTATAAGGCGTAAGCTTATGTTTTATATAAAGCAAATGAAATTAACCTTATAGATATTGTTATTTAATTATAAGCTACTTGTTCCAGTTTCATTTTTTGAATATTTTGTTTAGAAGATTTATTGGGTTGAAGAAAATATTATAATTGAGGAGACCGTCACCGAAGTAAGCAATGGTAGCGAACGTGTCAACGTATTTGCCACCTGCGATTGTTTCGGTGATCGTCTCGGTTGTAAGAGTTTCTTTCATCTGGGGAATCTTCTAAAGAATATTGAAATAATGGAGGTAAGACGTAACTAAATGTGATATGTTACAACTTTAACCCTTTGCGGGCGAACGTCGATATTTCGGCGAGATGAAATATTCATATTTGGAAGACTAAGTCGCAGATAAGTGATTTAACTACTAGAACAGCTATAGATCAACACGTTTACTTTTTTATTGATTAAGCGATTGATAGATAATTTAGCTTCGTCTATTGAAGGTTTCATACATTTCTAAAAACCTTCGTCCGCGAAGGATTAACGCTAAACCAGACGAAACACAATGATTCATCCCTAATTTCTTCACTTTGCAATTATTAAAAGATAACAGATGTCTCTCTGAGAAATTATTCGAGAAATTGATTTAGCAATAGATTTAGTAAATCGATTGACACTAGAACTACCAGTGGGTCAAAATGATCAATCCCTAATTTCTTCTTTTAGAATTACTGCAAAGGTACCGATACTTCTTTAAGAAATCATTAAAAAAGCTGACTTAGTAATACCTAAACTGAAATATAAACTAATTGAAATCTTAATAAATTCACGATTATAGCTTTTGTAAAGGAATTTTAGAAAGACGGTTTAAGTGCTCGGTAATTCTGATGTTGAAGTCTCGATAGATGCAGCCTTGAAGTTATAGAGGAATTTTGAAATGTCAGTAACTGCTAGGTAGGTTTATTGTTAACGCTATTTCTACCGAAGGTGTCGAAGACACCTTTTAAATTTTTAATTTAAAATTATTTTCTTAGTTTAATCATTTCTCCAGAATTGAATTTTGGACATTTCCTATACTTGATTTTATAATATTTATCGGAAAAGTCGGAGAATCGATTCAACTGCTCGGTGGGTTTAGTGTTAAATGAGGATATCTATAGGATTAATCTAGTTTCCTTTATGTAGAGTGTAAGATTGCATCTGTTAGAAGTATATGACGCTACTAGCGAACGTGTTGAGGTTAATAGCTTCGAAGATTAATCAGCTTTTGCGATTCGGATCGATGAAGACTCTTTTATTGACCAAGCTTTTTTAAAAGATGGATTCGCGATAGACGAGGGAATCGTGTGGAAGTTTAAAACTGATAGTTTCGAAGACCAATCAGTCTGCGGGATTCCGATTAACGAGGACTGTTCTACTGTCCAAGCTTTTTAAAAGATGGATTCGTAATAGACAAAGGAATCGTGTAGAAACTCGAGACCAATAGCTTCGAAGATTAATCAGCTTTTGTGATTTGGATCGATGAAGACTCTCTTTTATTGGCCAAGCGTTTTAGAAGATAGGTTCATGATAGATGGAGGGTCTTTTTTCATTGGATAAACGAAGTAATTCGCGGGAAGGTTTAAAACCAATAGCACTGGAAATTGATTAGCCTTTCGGTTTGGATTGATGAAGACTCTCTTTTATCGTCTAAGGTTTTTACAAGATAGATTCATGCTAAACGAAGGATTTCTTTTCGCAAGATGGATGAAGATGAGTTGCATACGTAAAAAACTAAGAGTAATAATATTGTACACGAAGTTATTTGCGATCGATGAAGGATTTTTTTTCGCGCGATACATAAAGGAATCATGAAAAGGTCCAAAGGCAATAGTTCTCAAAATTGATGGACTTTTACTGTTCGAATTAGCGGGAACTCTATTCCCGTGTTCGATTTCTTTAAAAGATAGATTCAAGATAAATAAAAGACCTTTCTTTAAACGATGAATAAAGAAATTACAAAATGTTTTAACCCTTAAGTATGGACGTGTGTTCTCACAGAGCTCTATATAAAATATTATGAATTCTTTTTCGTTATATAATTGATACTATTGCTATGCAAAGATATTTAAATAAGTAAAAACACATAAATACAGTCAATTTTGTTATTACTTGCTAGAGACGATAATATTTAACATTAATCGGCAATTTTAAATTAATTTGAATTACAAAATATATTTAAAAAATATTTCTTATAAATTAATTTGAACCATAAAATAAGTTCAAACAAATTTTTTTACAAATTAATTCAAATCATAAAATAAATTAAAACAAATTTGTTTTACAAATTAATTTAAATCATAAAATAAATTAAAACAAATTTGTTTTATACATTAATTTAAATCATAAAATAAATTATCTTAACCCATATCTAAAGGTTAAGATTAATAGTTCTGGAAACTGATTAACGATTTTGATTAATAAAGAGACTCTTTCACTGTTCAAGCTATCCACAAGATAGATTCGCAATAGGCAAAGAATATTTCTTCGCGCGATAATCACGGAAAGATCTGAGGCTAATAACTTCGATCAACGTTCGCTATTTGAATGAACAAAGAGTCTCTTCCGAGCCCAAGCTTTTTAGAAGATAGATTCGTGATAGACGAAGGAACTGCTTAAGCTTTAAGGCCAGTATCTCCGGAGACTACTCAGCTTTTATGATTTCGCTTGACAAAGGCTCTTTTATACTGTACAAGCTTTTTACAAGATACATTTATGATAGATGAAGAATCTTTCTTCGCACGATAGATAGGAGTAATCTGGCAATGAGGTGAGACCAATAGATTTGAAGACTAATCAACGTTTATGATGTGAAACGGTGGAGGCTCTCTTCTACTGTTCAACTTTTTGCTAGATAGATTCACGATAGACGAATAACATACCTTCACACGACGGATACAGGAATCATGAAGAGGATTAAGGCCAATAGCTTCTATCGACGTTTGCCATTTGAATTGACGATCATGTTTTCCCAGATACAAGCTTTTCTTTTCTTAGTTCATTCTTATGAACGATGACATTGTGAAAGCGGTTAAAGTCGCAATTCTGAAAAAATCACCTAAGTTTGTAATTTGGATTGGAAAAGACTCTCTCTCAGTTTGAGTGCTGAGTGCAATTATAATTTTCTTACTATGTTTTTCAAGAAACAAATCAAAGTAAATTTATTTGAATAAATGTTTTTGTAATAACACAATATTTGTGATCTAATTAAGTGACTACGCTTATTAATTTGTTTTCATGCACACCCAATCACTTCCGCTTTTTTGGTATATATCCACAAAATTTTTTTAGCACTCGAATGGTTACGCGTCATGTCAATCACCGATGACAGACACTTCTGAATTACTCGAAAACAATCGTAACATGCAGGATAACCGATATTGCATGAAAATGTCCAGTAACGTAACTAAGTTGATAATAGTGTATTACAAAGATTGTAACGTTAAATAATTAACAATTGTTCCTGCCTTTCTTCGGTGAAGATTTTCATGGCGTTTAACGCGTTGACCAGTAAACTGTGGAGCTTAGTTTCAAAAATCTCTCATCCTGCGCGATTAAGTCAAGCAATGAAATATATACTCGTCAGACGTAGTGCAGATGTACCTATAATATATTCTAACGAAAAACTAAAGGAAAACGAAGAAGAATTATCAGAGTTTGTTATTGAAATGTACGAAGATTCTCTTCCAAGTGCAACTTTTTGAAAAGCAAATAATAGATGAAGGAATTGCGTTAAAATCCTGTATCATCGAAAACCAATGAACATTCGCTGTTTGGAAATGAAGGATCTTTCCTTTACACGATAGACGAAGAAATCTCGTAAAGTTCTCGATAGTTTTGAAGATTATTCAACATTTTCGACGTGAAATGCTGAAGACTCTCTTCTACAGTTAAAGCTGCTCACAAAATGGATTTACGATAGACGAAAAATCTTCCTTCGCGAGATAGACGCAAGGAATCACGAACAGGTCTGTGGGCAATAGGTTCGAATATCGATCAACGTTCGCTATTTAGACAGAAGTCCTTCTTCCAAGTCTAACCATTTTGCTAGGTAGATTTAAAATAAGCGAAGGCATCGCGAGAGGATCTGAAGCTAACAACTTCTTCCCTTTGCGCTCGAGAGGTGACTCGGTCACCACTAGATTTGATATAGCAAAATTATAGTCTTATACAGGGCGTCCTGCGACTCATGGCCAACCTATTAGGACATTCTACATGTAAAAATGAGTTCTTCAATTGAACTTATTTAACTGATTTTATCAAGAACTTTGTTTTATAAAAGCAAGAAAAATATTTGACAAATTGCAAATAACTCGAATTCAAGACTTACTAAATAACAGAAGAAAAAATGAACAACATAAAAGGCAATGCGTTGCTAAGGGAGAAATGAGAGATCCTATTCGGTTGGCGAAGTGTTAACACTAGACTTACGGAACCCGTCGATTTGACGAATAGTGAATTTTTTATTATTTAGTAAATAGAATTATAACATTATTTAGTAAATACAATACCCTGGTTTTGAAGTTACTATTCTCGCGATTTATATAGACGAACACGTAATTTTCTAGGAACAGTAGAATACAGTGTAAAATAAACGTCCGTTAATCTAGTGTTAATTTACGTAGGTTTCCTCGTTTGTTAGTGTCGAAGAACGTCGTTTATGTCCCATTAAGAAATATTACACATTTCTAGTGAAGAACTTTCGAGCGCAAAGGATTAAAGAATTGTCAGAGTTTGCGATTTGGAATGGCAAAGACTCTAAAATTCAAGCTTCTTAGAAAATATATTCGCCATGAATGAAAGAACCGCTTAAAAATCGAAAATAAGTAGCTTTAAAAACAGATTAATATTTACATTTTCCATCAACCAAATGACTCTTTCACTATATTAATTTATTCAATTCACTATATTAATTCACAATTTATTCATAGAATATATTCACGAGAGACAAAGAATCTTTATTCACACAATGAATAAAAAAATTACGAAAACCTAAGTCCTAAAAACGAAGGCCAATAGCTTCTATCAACGTCTTCTATTTGAATGAATGAAGATTCTGCCTCTAGTCTAAGCTTGTCACTAGGTAGATTAAACTCTTGCGCTGAAAAGACGTGCCACGCATGTCGAGATGCTTTTGTTCTGAAATTCCCAATGACGTCTTATACACATCGATAGTTTTCTTGCATTACACATACTGAATTGTTTTGAAATTAACCCCTTGACTTACAATATCGTGTCGTGATGAAAATTGTAAATTGAATTTCAGACATCCAAGTGTTAATTGTTTTCTTTAAATATAAATTAAATATTACTTTTCCATTATCAATCGTTAACCTTTGGAGTAGATACAGACATAGATACGAAATTCTTTATTGTCCTAGTAAATGATTAATGACAAAGTAGTTGTATCGATCACAGTTAAAAATAAATCATAAGGCAAGGGGTTAACCCATTAAGTCCCATGAAATTTTTTTTTTTAATTTTTAAATGAAATTTTGTATTTCGAGTAATGAGTGTCCATACTATCTTGGAAAAATAGTGAAAAAAATCTGACATATTCAATATACTATATATAGCAGTGGCATATTCACAGATCACCTAATGTAATTGTTCATAACATTGTTTATATTCAATGTTAATGCATATAAATAGAGTTTTCATTATTCTGGAAACATTTATTTTGTAATTCCAAGTTACAAAAATTTTAACTTTGTTATTTCAAATTTTATAAAAAATTTCCCGCGGCAGTGCAATCATAGACCGTTTTATAAATTTTCCAAACTTTAAATGAAGTATAAATTTTATCTGGAAATAACGTCTGATTCAATTTATTCATATTTATCCTAATCATTAGTTACATTATTTATTAACAAATAAATTGTCTATAACAATTTAGAGTGAGTGATCTATTAATAGATCACTGGGACTTAATGGGTTAATAAACAAACTTACTGTACATATAAAATAAAATAGGTAAAATAGGTAAAATAGGTAAAGACAAAATTCTTCGCACGAGACTTTGCCAAATCACTGAATTCGTTACCCGCGCAAGAGGTTAAGGGTGAACGAAGAAATTGCGAAGAGGTCCCAGACCAACAGTTCTGAGGAATGTTCAGAATTTGTTATTTGAACGAACCAAGATCCTCTTGCAAGTAGAAGCTCTTTAGAAGAGTCACAATGAATGAAACATTCGCTTAAATCTCTAACATCGGTAGCTCTAAGAACAAATGAATATTTGTTGGATATCATGCGAAGGCAGTCTAGCCGATAAAGCAGGGATCTACTGCTAATTGTGTTTGCACCTATTAATGAGAACTTGGAGCAGCTGTCACTGTTATCAATTACGGAGCACGCTCTCGTGTAATGTCTGCCGTGCGAAGTAGTCACGTTCCCTCTCTTCTCATTTATTTGTGTTTTTATATAATGTGCATAAATATATTTTATTATGCAGTGTTATCCTGGTTTATTTATTTACCCAAATAAATAAATAACATCGATATTTACAGTTCTTTGTCTGTTCTTCTTCAATCCCAGAAATTCTCGAAGGAATTATATAAACCTGTAGGCGTGTCTTCGAATCATCGCTCTGTTAGTAAATTAGTATCATTATTAACACAGTACTGAGAAATTACTTATTTTCATGCCGAGTACTTTTAACACTAAAACTACCAGAGGGGTCAAATGACCCATGCCTAATGTCTTTTTTTGCAATTATTAAAAAGGTAACAAGTGTTTTTCTGAGAAATTATTAAAGAAATTCATCTAGCACTACACAAATTAAATTGAAAATCAATTAAAATCTGAACAGATGCACTCTTGGAGTTTCTATAGCGAAATTTTAAAAGATCAATTGAAGTGCTCGGTAGTTTTAGTGTTAACTACACCTGACCCTCGATTTACGCGAAAATCCGTTCCACGTGGGTTCGTTTTACACGAACGAAAATCGCGTAAATAGAGCCTGTCGGTACAAGAGAAAACAAAATATTGAAGAGAAAAGCTGGTATAAGTTTTAGAAATACATATTTATTTCACATAGCTCAACAAAATAAATAATAATAATGACATGTTAGAAAACAAAAGTATATTTTATTCGCTGTTACTAAATACAAATCGCGTAAATTGAGATCGCGCGTAGAAACTCTACGTAAATAGTGTTCCAATTTACCGCGTGAAAAAAGTCCGCGTAAATCGAGGGACAGGTGTACTATGGGTTTTGCAAAACACAGCATGAAAACGTGTTCCGTCTGTTAACACTGTTTCTACCGAAGGTGTCAAAAGTCGCCGTATGAAATTGTAAAAAATATTTTCTCAGTTCAATCATTTTTCCTTAATTGAATTTTGCACATTCCTATAGTTGATTTTATAATCTTGATTGGGAAAGTCGAAAAGTCAATTCAGAATATACCACTAAACTTGGAAGACAATTTTAACGCTTAGGCGACCGCCTAAAAAGAACTATAACTACAACCTCCTCCATTATCTTCGATAGAACTCATTCAATTAATTCGATTAGAAACTGTGTTTCGTAAAAACAAGAACCGTGTTTGATGAATTGCAAATAATCCCGCTTCAAGACTTACTAAATAACAAAAGAGAAGATAAACAGAATAAAAGGCAATACGTTGCTAAGTGAAAAGTGGGAGATCTCCTCGTTCGGTTGGCTAAGTGTTAAGTTAAAGGTTCAAAAGTTGTCTCTTGACACCTTCGTTAGAAATAGTGTTAAATGCTGACAAAGTGACTCTTCCACTATCGAATCAATTCACAAAATGGATTCACAATAGACAAACAGTGTCTCTTCGCACAATGAATGAAAGAATCTCGAAAACCTCTGAGGCAACAGCTTCCACCATCCCCTATTTAGATAAGTCCTCCCTCGAGTCCAAGCATTTCAGGTACAGTCAGCAACAAAAGTGTTCGAACGTTGTGCTCGCTTATATAGACACAATAAATATTCCATAATTTGTTTGCATATTGCTAAATATTTCTTTAATTTTATTTTATTTGTTTATTGCAATTTATCCTTGACGCTGCAGATCTTACGCACT